TGAGCACACACAAGCATTAAAGCATTAAAAATGATATTTTTAATGCTGAAATACAATAATTGTTGTTAGTCATGAATTTTCAACAGAGCACAATGTTGTTACTTTTTGATTAAGATGCCAAATAATGCTTATTTACTTACATTCCTGAACATAAATAATAGTTTTAGTGCTTGAGCAATATGCCTGATTCGTTCCCGGCTTCTCAGAAAAGTCCGGTGTGTTGCCCCAAATTTGGGTATAAAAAGGTGAATTGAGTTTGCTGTTTGTCTAACACGTAACAATATCATTTGTAGTTTTAAACAAACTTTTGGCAGATTTCAAAATATTTGTGTTTTCTTGTTTTTATGACAGGTCTAATAAATAGTAGTGCTTAATAAAATCAAATGGAAGCTTATTGTACAGTCTACTCGAGTTTGATCCTGCTTGTCAGTACTAATTTAACCTTTTTTCATTTTTAAACCAGTTTAACTCATTTAACTTTTAATTTATGCATGTAAATGCAACTGTTTATCCAGTCTAGGCTAGTAAGAAAGGGGCAGGTATGGAACCTAATCACAGTACACCAAGAAAACGGTATTCTGTATTCAGTAAGACAGGATTAAAATGCATCGATAAAAAGTCAAAAATATATTTTTGACAAAAAACAAAAGGGTTTTTTTGTCATTTTAATTTGAGATTTTACAAATGAGACGTGAATAATTAAAAACTGTAGCAGGTTTGAAAGCTGTCGGTTTCTGCTTTTTCCATGCAGGTACTACTACCAGAGAGGCATACTGAATAAGGTTGAAGGCCAGCGCCTCGTTTACCAGTTCACCTCTCTCCCCAAAGACATGATTTACATCACCGATGGAGATGGCATCAAAGAGGAAGACGACGAGGACCACGATGACAACAGCGTCAACGACGAAGGCTTGAGCGACGACTCTGACAGTACCGTATCGTCTAGTGACCATTCAGCGGAGGAGCAGGAAGATTCTCAGCCACCGCCAAAGAAATCGTCCCCCGTCTCCGGCCGCACTCCCGCTTCACAGCGCACCAGGCCCGCTCCCAGGCCCTCAGCTCAGCGCGACACCGTCCTGCGTCCCACCAGCTCCAGTTTGATCCAGGAACAGCATCTGCCTATCGTGTCGGCTGAGATGCTACGCACGCTCCAGAACCTGCAAAAGGTCCAGTCTCTCAAACCCGCCGGTCATGCGTCAGTCTTCAAAACGGCTCAGCTGATGGGGAGTCTGTGCGAGCGGCAGGCCGCTGCCTCTGCCGAGGTAGCCATAGGGAGAAAAGGTGCGCCGGAGATGCCCGAGAAAAAGTCGCACCCAGGACCAAAAACTCCACAGCTTATGCCTCTGATTAGCTCTGACCAATACAAATAACAGGTGCCCACTTTCTATTGAACACACAGATGCCTGTACACTCCACTGACTCAGGACCACTTACAGGGCTGCACTTTGCTATGACAATGCTGATTTAAAAACAAAGGGACTTTTGATGTAGAATATTATTTTAGATCATAAGTACAGATCAGTGCTTTCTCGCAGCGCTGACAGGAACCAAAATCTCACAGGAGTTTACCTTCTCAGCTTTGAAATCTGATCATTTCGCCTTATTGTCATTCTGTGTAGCCCTTTGTTAAACCAACACCAAAGACAGACATGCACTGGAATCTCTGGCCTCTCTGCACTGCCTGCAGACACTTTCTCTGCTTGCACTTCAGCTCCAGTGTCCTGGAAGCAATTATCTTATCACCACACTGTGCCCTTCGTCTCTGCCTTTTGCTCTCACTTTCTCCTACGTTGTTTAGTTTTGTGTCTTTATGCTATCACGTGCTGAAGCATTCCTTTGCCTTAAAAGTGGCTTTGCACTAATGTTTACCTCTGCTGTATATTTCTTCTGAAGTGCCTGAAGATGTCAGTCCATCCTATTCCTGGTAATCATAAGGGAAAACATTCCATATTGTTATTGTTATTATTATTGTTGTTGTTTTTTAAGATTGCTGCCTTTTTTTGTCTGCATTGTGAAATGTTGAAAACAAGGGATCACTGTTATTTTTTTCAAAGTAGTACTTTAGCACTTGCGCTGTTTATTATTTGTTTATCGACACCATTGGACTCTTTTTTTCTATTTTCTTCATGACAATCACCAGTGAAGTGGCCTTGTAGCCACCCTGCCTCCTGTAAAATGACAGTGCTACTATTTAGCTTTTCCCTTGTGCACTAGCTATCCATATATGAGTGCATATATTAAACTCAGAATCCTCTATCTGTATGCGTCTATTACGCACTGTAGGGCCTCAACATTAAAACCACTGTGCTGGCTGAAGTGAACATTGGTCATTTCGTTACAGTGCAATGTTTGGCTGGCATTCACGTGGGTTTAGCATCGAGCTCAGCGTTGCAGAAGGCGCCAGCAGCGGCATCTCTGCACAAAGCAGACCTACATATTACCAGGCTGGTGGTTTTAATGTTTTGGCTGATCTTTGTGTACTGTATACCTGTGAAAGCGCCTGACTTGTTCTTTTGATGCCATTTTTTTTCCTTCCCTCAGGTTTATAAAGCATTTTTGTACTGCACATATTATGTACTCTATGCAAGAAGTAAAAGTGAAATTGTTAGTTTATTATTTTCTCTTTGGCCGGTCTTAGCGTAGGCTCACGAAGCTGGCTTACAAACTTCACCTCACTCCAAATTAAAAAAAAAAAAAAACGACTGAAAGTTAGGCTGGCTTTTTGAGAGGCTAAACTTGGCAAAGAGATGCTTATAAAGTAACTGTGCCTGCAGGGAACTCTTATGCAGAACTATTTTCACTTTGTTAAACCATGTTTGTTTGTTTTGGGGTTTTTTGCCCCTTGCTTTTCAGTGTGTGTCCTGGTAATGTCTTACCTTAATAGATTTGTAAGCTTGTAGCAGAGTGAGCTCTGCTACAAGCTCCCTCCATGGAGCTTGTTTTTTTTTATGCTGTATTGTGTTTGCTTTCATGCAGTCCAGTGATGTTAAAGCTAATCGTCTATTATATGAAATAAATTTACATTTGTCATTGTGTGAAATCCATCATTGTTCCTTTGAAAGACTCGGAGCATCAGTAGACATGATGAGTGTATATGTCACATTTGAGCAGTGCGTTCGACTGCTGCTTTATTAGTAAAGGCCTAATGCAATGATACAGATCTGCCAGAACTACTTCTACAGAATTCTGACACGATCAGTTTGTTTTTCTTTTTTTTTTGCTGTTGTCAGAAAGGTGTTAATTCTATTTCTGATTTGGCAAAGTTGTTTTTTGGCTTAACACATTAACACTGAACAAGCTGATGTAGGTTTTTCCAACTGATACCATAGTTTGCATCTCTGTTACCTTGTCAGAGGTCAAGCTCTGTGAAAATCTTGTGAATAAAGTAACTGAAGAAAAATGTCACATAGGCTTTTCAAATTGATACCATTGAGGAGATTGTAGGTGGCTTAGGGGTAGCAAATGGCGACCACCAGTCTTTTTAACATACCAATGGTGCTAATCTGAGGTGGCAGAAGTGCAGATACCTCTGTTAAAAAGTGCTCTGGTAAAAGTTAAAGTACTGATTTGACTTCTTTACTCAAGTAGAAGTGAAAAGTACAGGCTCTGAAATGTACTCAAAGTAAAGTAGCTCTTTGGAGGACATTTCTAAACCAGATATTTTTGTGCAAAGCTAACTGAGCTATAGTAATATAATAAAGTGACAGTAGTACATGGCAATGCAGTCTTTATTATATAATTCCTGATCTAAATTTTATTTCTAATGAATGTATTCAACTTGAATCAAGTATGCAGAACATGAACATAGAAAAAGAAGAAGTTTATTTTGTGTTGCCTGCAGTGTAGAGGGTGACTTTTCCTCTAAACAAGAAAATGTGTACAGTCAGGGGTTAACCCTCTCAGGCTCAAATTAAACTTTTTGTTGCTAATGCACAACCAAGTCCTGCAGTGGTACTTCTGAGTAAAAAAAACTCATAAAATGTGTATGTGGGGTAATCAGGTTGTTAGTTTTTAACTGTTTCAAATTGGCACTGCCTGCCTCGAGAGGGTTAAAGTGGATTCTGCACATGGGGAAACCCCAAAATCCACTGTAGAGGTTTAGTGTGGGGAAAAGAATGAGAACTCACAATAATTTCTTCTGTGAGCTCCAGCAGATTTTCTTAGTGTACCGGCTGTGATCAGTTGACCTGCTGGTCTTTGTGGACATACGCAACAGGATGTTACATGTTACACATACATAAAGCATGTACAAGGATAGATAACACTAAATACTTAAAATGTCCCAGGGAAGAGGAGTATTCTTCAGTCCAAATGTTTTCCTCCTCCTGAGATCAGCAACAATATTTTTAAACACATGCAGTGTAACTGGTAGTTATCTTTTGATCAAATAGCTACTTTACCCCTTGTTTTCCAGATGTGAACGTTAATAATGCACACGACTACCTAGAATGGATGTCTTTTACAGTCTTGCATTATTTCCTTAAAGAGACGTGCAACACAAATTTGTCAACATTACAACCCACAGCCGATTCTCTGTCTTATTTCCGTTGTTCTCTGTCTGATTACAGATCCAGCTGATGTTGGAGCATTTCATCCTCCCAATGAATCACTGGACATTTTTGTGCTCACATAATAGGTTCATTGTACCACAGCTCTCACAGGAAGTCTGACTGAAGTCTGACTGAGTTTAGCCATGTCTCCGTAATTCTTTGATATATTGTATCATTTATGTGTCCTGACAGTCTGAGAAAGTCTTAGTCTTTTGTGTTTATATTATATTAACCCCATTTTTATTTTCATTAATGGTATTATAAATTTGTTGGTGGCTGACCGTACCCAGTTTCAATTTAAACGTTTCTATTCTTTGACAGATCTGCGGCCTAATTCGCTGTCCAGAAAATCGTCTCCTTAAAAAAACAAAAAAACAAACAAAAAGAAGTTATCGCTATTTTGCAATAACTCCTCCGGGCCTTTAGGGGGAGTAGAGGCAGTATGAGCTGTGCGCAGCCGGATGTTGACAGGCTCTCTGCTGTGTTTGAGCTGTAACTGTTACCGCTATCACGTTTCTCGTAGTCTCCACATCTAGAACTTTCCTGTCACTCCAGAAACAGTGCACATCCACAGAAGCAGATGGCAACCGAACGGTAAGTTCATCGAAATCTATCAATGAACTGTTCTTATAGCAGCAGACATTTCTTTTCTTTCGGTTATTTAACGCTAACTTGCTTTTTTGTTGCTTTTAGCAGCTTCCCCGATAGCTTCATTGACGAAGATCCACAGAAAGCTCTGCAGGTAAAACACTAGTCTCAGTTAGCCACAAACAAGTTTGCGCGATGCACGGTGGCTCTTGCAGGATGTCCATTTAACGTTAAATTCAGTGGACTTACTCTAGAAAGGAAATTGAGCAATACCCGTGGTGTTTGTGTTTCTGATATTACCAACAAGCTAGCGAAGTTAGCCAACGTGTTTGCTAGCCCTATTTAGTTATGAATAAAAGTAATCCCAGAATCGCTTCGTTATCATATCAAACGGTCACCTGTTTCTTTAATACCATTAAGAATTAAATATGTCTCATGCGTGAGGAGGTATTACTACATAACGTTAGCTCGAAATAGTCTGCTTGCTGGATACTAGCCCTGTCATCCTGACATGAAGTTGTGTCAACTGTGAACAGACTAAACCAGTGAAGTTTATTTCTGCTGTTTTAAAAGCCTCTGGTGAATCTGCGGTTATTTATGTGACTAACCGGGGCAGTATTATGAAAATCATTACAGTTTGCAGGAATAACACAGATTCGAATAGATTTACGGAGAACTGCTTGTTCTGTAAAGATATCCGACTGCGAAAGTGAAAGTTGCAGATGCATAACAGCGCTACTTTCGATTTAAGCATTTTTCTAGAAGTTTTTTTCTTGCCACAATTCTTGAAGCTGAAAACACGATTTTAAGCCCTTTATACAATAATAGCAACCTCGTTATTATTTTCAGGAGCTTAACGAGGCCTTACAAGGAGACTCAGACAACGCTGAGTGGTTTTGTCAGCGTGCCTATGCCCACATACTGCTCAAGAACTACAGCTGTAAGTCTGCACAGCACATGTGGAAACAGACCACACTAATAGCATTTTTGATGTATTATGAAGTGCATGAACATTATGTGAGCATTACAAATACCTGTTGTTTAGCTCTTGAGGTTTTACATTGCATGTGACTTAGCCTGGACATATGCACTGCATAAAGAAACATAGTAATTTTTTTATTTTTGTTTTGTGTCCACAGGTGCTGCTGATGACGCCAAGAAAGCACAACAGCTAAAACCCAGCCTCTCCCTTGCTTTCATGCGCACAGGGTATGGACTGTGAAATGCACGCCTTTACATAGCAGTTTTCTAGCCTGACTGACCACCCATAGGGTCAAATTTTCTAAAAGGGGCAAAATGGCAAGTGAGGACAATCCCCAAATAGTGCTCGCAGGTGTGGTTAGTTTTAAAAGCAATGTACAAATATACTTTACACTACAAGAAAAGCTTAAAAAACACTGTGGGCCTTCCTCACATCCATGGCCTATTCAGAATAACCAACCTAACCCACAGGGGTCCACCCTGGCATGCAGATGTTTAGCTCAGTTTAGACTGCACTTCATTCACCGTTTGATATGTTCATCTCACCACTTTAAAAAAAAAAAAAAAAAGGTAAATTAACAAAAATAATAATTAAAACATATAGTTTAATTGATTAAAAAATTATCCCTTCTGACACAAACGCACAGCCAGCTTTATTGACAAGATGGGATGAAACATGCTGTGTATGGCTCATGTTTCTGATGTTATCTGACGGTTGTCACAAAATGTCTTTCAGCTCAGTGATTTCAATTCTGAAGGCCTTTTGTTCAGTGCTCCCCCCACACCCCAAACCTGACCTCTAACATAAAGGAAAATTTTGAAAACCTGTCCTCGTCCATCAAACAAACTTCAGTTAAAGCTTTGTTTTGACACACAAGTCACCAAGGTCGTACTGTCGTGCTTTTTCACATTCTTCATGTCAAGCGGGCCTTGGAGGAGTCATCTTGGCCTTCGTCTCATCATGTTTGAACTATTGTAATCCACTCTACTCGGGTCTCAGACAAAATTCAGTCACCCGCCTTCATCTCATTCAAAACAAATTCACAGAGACAAGACAAAGTGATTTAAAGTTGAGCTGATTTGAAGCTTTTATTAAAGTTGTATTTGTTGTTACTTTAAAACCATGCATGGGCTCATCCTACCCGCACTGTCGATTTAGTTGGTTGGTATTAATTGAGCGACTGGCTGCGTTTGTCGGGTCAGACAATTCTAACGGTTCCCACAATACCCTCATTACATAGGTGTTTGAGTGTTTTCATAGAAAATCTATTTTTACTGCCCCTTTATTATTTCTTTTTGTTGTGTTTATTAACCTGTTATTCACACAGCATGTTCAGATTTTATGCCTTGTTTTAATTTGTTGCCTCTTTGTTTCTATATATTTATCATGTTTTGTAAAGCAATTTGTAACTATGTTTTATATTTTTTTTCTTTATTGTTCTTATTACGTGGTCACAATATAAGTTTGGTGTGGTTGCATTATGTAAAACTTAACGTTTTACGCCTTGCAATGTAAGAATTGTCGGAAACTTTTAAAGTTATACTAGTAAAAAGTCTGATTTCTGCGCTTCCTCAGAAGTTAATCCACAAAAACTACCAAAACATTTTGCTTTAACACGGTAAATCATACAGATGTTGTTTGTCAGATAAAGCTGCGTTTATTTTTCCAAGATTGTCTGATCTAAGTTCATGTGGCATGTTTTTCTCGCCCAACTGCAGAATAGCCGAATATCACCTGAACAACTATGAGTCAGCGCATGCAGCCTTCACTCAGGGACACCAACTGGACGGTGAGTGCAGCTCATTTTGGCCTCAAGTGCAGGTTCCTTAATTCCACTGTGTACCAACTACTGTTCGCAGCAGTGTCCTGTCCACTTTGCTCTCCTCATTGTTTTCATGGCTAAATTTTGGGCCTTATCTTTAGGGCTTTTTTTTTTTTTTTATGACTTACACAGTGACGACCACCTTAGCCAAAGGCATTATGTTTTTGGACATCTTACATCCATGCGTCACATTCTGGAGAACAAACCTCTTTTTTTTTTCCTTTTTTTTTTCTCTCGTATTTGGCACAGATTATCACTTGGTCTTATGGATGAACTGCATAGGTTTTGGTCATCTGAGGTCAAGGTTACTGTAATCTTACCATAACAGCAGCATTATTTTGCGGTTTGTGACAGACAGTTATGAAACTGTGACAGTTTCATACAGATAAAATAACAAAGTGATGACCATTTGAATACAGAATGTCAAGTCTGAGTAGGCTTGGATGTAGACTGTAATTCGATGATGTGGTCAAACTCCCCGCTCTCCATTCAGTTTTTACATTAGAAAAGCCTGCGTGTTCTTCACATGTGTGTAGTTGGTGCTTGGGTAGTTCAACATATTTGCAGATGCATTGCTCCAAATCTTTGCATGTCGTTACCACATGGAGAGCAGTGGAATAGTTGGAAACCATTAGCATTAACAGGCATTACAGTGGTATCACCTGTGCTTGCCCAACGCAGTAAATCAAATGAAAACCCACCATGAGAACTGTATTAGTGCTACGTATTAGTGCTGTGAATGGCGTCTGACGGTTGTCCTTAACACACAGTACTGGGCTTTTTTTTTTCCTTCTTTTTTTCTTTTTTCAGTCTCAGGGGCTTCTAGACCAATACACCATCTTAAAGAGGTGTACATACAGGAGGTGACTACACAGACCACAGACAGTCAGTGTCAGTGACATCCAGTAACTTAAAGCCATGGCTGGTGAAATAACTGCTGGCAACATGAGGTGGCTTGTCCTGTGTTAAACTATTCTCAACTTTAAGGCAACAGATCGAATAACAAAGGATCCCGTTGATGGACATATGACAGATTAGTAATAAATTTAGGGGTTACCTTGATGACCAGTACCTGGAATGACTGCTAGTGACCAAACGTCAGCTACAAGGCATACTTCACAGGCCAAACATTTCCTGTTTGGATCCTCCTTTAGAAGTCTTAAAGCAAGTGTACTTCACTGTCTCAGGTTTGTCTTTTTTAAATCTAAATCTAACATGTCCTCAGAGTTGTGGTGTATTTTTTTTTTTCCAAATTCCAGTATTGCAATAATCCCACTAACACTGTTCCAAAAGAGTGCTTGAACATTTTGGGAATTGGATCGGCTGCACATTATTTTACAAGTATTTTCCCAGTACTTGGTGACAAATGTATAACAGGACTATATGTTTAGCTGTCTCTCATTTTATGAATGAACTCGGTGCCTTCAGTTGGACTTCATATGAAAAAAAAAAAAATTTAATTATGCTAAACTCAGTCGCCAGTCGGCCACTATTGATTTAGCTGGTCACCCCACGCAAGTAAAGTCTTTACATGGGAAGGAATGTTCCAGAATAATTAAACTTCTCCAGCATACAGTCAGTTAAGTATAGCTGGCCTGCATAGTGTGAATAAAGTGATACTAAAGCATTAATGTTAGTTAGGCTTCAGTGTTTGATAAGCACATTGTACACAAATATTTCCTTGCAGTACAAGCTGTCATTGTGCTTCTCACAGGTGAAATTATGGAGCATTGACTGATTAGGGCTTTAGTGGCAGTTTGGCAAGTTGCCCGAGTGTCTTCAAGGAGCAGTTAGTGAATTTGTTTTTAGAAGTAAATCAGTGGGAGATGAAGAAAGACTTAAAATAATGCACAGTTAAAAACAAACAAAAAACAAACAAACATTGCTGTGATGCAAGAACTTTATTTTCCAACTACCTTCTTCAGGCATGTACAGTGTTTTTGGACATCTGCTTACCAGGTCAGATTATGAGTGATTTCCTGATTTAGATGAAATGCCTTGAAACGAATACCTTCAACCTTGACTGGCCTTTACTTCAAGGGGACATGAAATGCTACACACATAAAGGCTAATTTAACTCACGGAGCCCTGCTCTCAAAAACTGACATAGATGTAACTCTTTCTGTGAAGCTGGATTTAAGAAATAAGTGCTTAAAGTTAAAGTTTTGAGAACACGTGTAGCGCCATCCTCAGTCAGTACGAAACGTTATGTCACGTGGTTGGTTTGGTGCGGCTAATAGACTTAGTTTATGTTAACTAACAGGTGACGGAATTGATGGCTCAGAGGAAAATAAGGACACTAACAATAAAAATCATTTTAAGGGATTACATACAGCACATACAGCACCAAGGGCGGATAGCACAAAAGTGATCGGGAAAGTCCACCTGTTAGCTGTAATGTTCAGTTTTGTAAAGCACTTTATGAATGAGGACTGTGATATAAATTAGCCTTTCTATGTGTTGTGTTTCATGTCCTCTTTAAAGCACTTGAGACTTGAGTAACCAGCTACTGATGCAGTTATGTGTTTTCGTAATGACTTTTTGTGTTGCAGTGTTTACTTAGTGTTAAACATGTAAGAGTGTTTATTCTTTTTTTGCAGATTCTGACAAAACCTTTGAGGTCTGGATCAAGCGGTGTGAGGAGATGATGGAAAGTAAGTAGCTCTCTCTGTACTGTGCAAAAGTCTTAATCCAGCCATTGTTTGCAATGGCTCATCAGGCTTTCTGAAAGTCTTTCAAAGTTTCTCTTTGGACATTGGCTACTTTTTCACTCATTTTCAGTCCACTCCTTGTACCTAACAATTTTCAGAAGAATCAGGTTTTATTCTTTCAAGCTAACACTTGACCAGTGAATCTTTTACACATGCAAAATGCATCTAAATCAAGGCATGAAGCAGTGACATATCTACACATAACAGACAACTTGGCAAAGAGCAATTTTAACCCCACAGCCAAAAAAGGCTGATGGGGTTTGTCGTCACCCCGGTGGGCGGGTGGCATGAGCACCCAAGATTGTGAACACAATAACTCGAGAACGAGGCAATATAGGATTTTCAAATTGATATTATAGGTGCATCGTCTAAGAGGCTGAGGGATAGCACTGGTCACTGCAAGTATTTTTAATTATCTGTAGTAGGGCTGCCATGAGTAGTCACGATTACGTCGACTATCAAAATCGTCGACGACTGATTTAATAGTCGACGCGTTGTTTGAAGCTTTGTAAGATCACAAAAGACGCAGGAATAAGTAGCAGGATTTAAGAGTGTAATAATGGACTGAAACAGAAGATGGCAGCACTGCATGCACAAGGATGCCAGCTGCCGTTAAACCCTGAAGAAGAAGCTGTGTCCCAGAATTCATAGCGCGGCCCAGCTCAGTTTCCAACAATGGCGGCAGCTAGTTAGTTTTAATATTACTCTTATTATTCTTTCTGGGTCACAAAATAAACTTTTAACATATTTTCAGGCGAGAATGTAGCTGTGTAAACCTCAAATATCTGCTCAGTTTATCAAGACACCACATATTTTCAAAAGCGCTCCGACGTTTTCAGAGACGTCTGTTACCCACTAGCTCGATAGCTAGCCGGGGGCAAAGCTCGCTAGAGCCCGTGAGAACACCGGACTCCCGGAAAATCGTTTTCAAACCCACCGCCGTCTTTCGCTACTCAGGTTAAACATATATAAGTCACATTTTAAATGTTATTGTTGGCTTTTTTTTTTAGTATTTTATTTGTTCCTGAGTAAATCGGTTTGGCTGAGATTAAAGTTATAGTTTTTACACAGCTGAATAAAAGTCAAACAGACAGCTGATTATCAGAAGTGTGAGTGAGATGCTCGAGAATATACTCCGGTGTCCCGTTATATTTTAGATTGCAAGGAGTTTATTAAACTCTCCCTTACTTATTAAACTTCACCGAAACTTTATTTTTAGTTAGCACATACCTTAAACACTTAAAGCTGTAGGCTAATGATAGTTCTATAAGAGCAGATGCATGCTGGTGCAATAAGCTGTATGTTTTACGTCCAATGGATGCATGATCTGATTAGTCGACTAATCTCAAAAATAATCGGTGACTAGTCGACTATCAAAATAATCATTTGTGGCAGCCCTAGTCTGTACGCACTTTGCCATTAGGACTCTGTAACAAAAACACATTTTATTTCCATTTCTTTAGTTGAATCTTCAGAAAATGCCAATGATAACACAGTCTGGCATTTTCACACTAACAAGGTGAATCCTGAAGAGCTGTTGTCAGAAAACTTGTCATCGTGTGCACAGTGTGTTTTGTGTGTTTGATTAAAAACAGATAAGATAAAAAGTAGAAATAGGAAGAAATAGGAAAAGACCTGACACAGGACCTGAAAGATGTGGAAATCAAATCAAATTTCTCAAATTTTTTTGAATCAAATGATTCAAATCATTGTGGAAATCATCTGGAAATCTGCTTAATATTCATATAATTATGAACACAGAAAATTACTATTTGATGTCGAGCCCCCATGCAGTAACATCTGGAAAGCATTTGATTGACAACAGCTTCATTGTATAGCAGGACACACTGTCAATGCAGTAAAAGCATGGCTGGATAGAAAAACACACAGTGGAACACTGTCAGTCATGGATTGGCCTCCCCAGAGCCCAAACCTCAACATTACTGACTTACAGAAATGACAAAAAACGAGTTCAGGCTGTGCTGAAGAATAAAGCTGCCTTTTTCAGTGAAGGTTTCCATGTTTCAGTGAACGACTGGACCTATATGTAGCAAAATATAAAGAAATTATAGGGGGCTCAAGACTTTTGCACAACACTGTAGTTTTATGGAACTTTGACCAGTAATAATGCATCTGAAGTTGTGGGGGGGGGGGGGGGGGAGAGGAATCTGTGTTGTAACACCCTAAATGTAAGTAAACAAAATTGCCTGGGGTACTTTTAGTTCAAACAAGCTTCAGACTTGCAAACTTTAACTTGTGCAGTATATCCTATTTACTGCCTGCCATCAAACGCGCAGCTAAATGGCACAGTCAGGGAGCAGATCAGCCCATCTGATCAAACAAATGAGCACGCACACGTCCACGGATCTACAGTATGCGCTCACAGTGGTGGAGGCTGAGCTGCTTAGTCCAATAAAAGATGCATGCCATGTCTGCGTGGTGTGTTTCTGTTTGCTGCTGATGCCTGGGCCCTCTGGATCATCTCAAGTAAACAAGAGCATGAGTTTTGACAAACACGCTTCACACCCGCGTGCATACGTACTCCCAGGAGTGCGTGATTCATCAGAGTTAACGTTACTGATGTTTGAAAGCCCCGATGAGACCCAGCCTCTTTGATAAGCCGGCTTGCAGACAGCATACACACACACTCTTACTGCTCACACCGGGAATAGCCTCTTTTTTTTTTTCTTCTTTTTTTTTCCTGGTGACTGTGTTTACTGCGAGCAAACACACACACACACAGCACCTGGTTATTCCATCACATGTGGAACCCCGCATGCATCAGAACACACAGTCGCACACAAGCAGCCCCCCCCTTCCTTGTCACTTCAAGCTCGACCTCATTAAGACAACATTAACACGCCTCCTATCATCTCATCTATCTATGTAATGAAGTCTGTGAATAATGTATGACAGCATGCTGGTAAACGGTGTTTGGGCTCGCTCTGGCTCACAGGGCTTTTAATGGGCGTGGCTAGACCAGTAAACAAACTGGTGGAGAGGCTCAGAGAGTGTATGTGTGTGTCTGTTTATGTTGTGTTGTGCCTATTGTCCGTTATTCACCTATAGATACATTTAAAATTGGCGCTGGAACCTCTGCTCTTATCCAGTAATCTAATAGTCATGTTTTAACAGAGATCAGTGAAGCCAGTTATGGGTGTATTAAATGTTTCGAGCTGAAAGCCCACCTTTTTTCCTTTTTTCCCTCTACAGATAAGACACAAAACAACAACGTCAACACGGTGAGTTTCTCTTTGAGGCCACCTGGGGGCATTGTTGCTCTCAGCATCAGCACGGCTTTGTCCACGCTTTGGCTTCAAACAAGGAAGCCATACTAAGCTTCTTTTGTTGTTGTTGTTATGGCTTTTTTTCACCCCCCCTCCTCGTTCCTGTGCTTTTCTGTCTCATCCATTTGCTTTCCCACCACGTCCTCCTCTCTAATTGTCATCTCGTCTCGTGGGCTGAATGACCCAGCAGACACCAGCGGCTCCACCTGTGAAGTAAGTGCACAAATGTAAATACGCCCTATCTGGTATTGCTGTTTATTTATTATACAGAGTTAATATTCAACCGAGCCTCAGTGCTTCAAAGCAGCCCCTTTCTTTATAAAAATGTAAATCCCATGTACACAGAAAATATATGTTAATGAAGATGGCTGCTTTTTAAAATTATTATTATTATGCATGAAATCTCCATTTTTGTCGCGATAAGTGGATTAAGGGGTCAAATTCAAATAAGTCTTCCTGTGCCGTTAATTCTTGTGTTTTAATCGTTTGTCTTTCAGGCACGACTGGTACCAAACAGAATCGCAAGTCATTGTCACAGTGATGGTGAAAAATGTACCCAAGGATGGCGTGCATGTCAGCTTCATGGAAAAGGAGGTATAAACACACACTTGAATGCTGTGTTGAGTCTCTGTTTGCTCTGTGTGTGGAGCAGAGATGGGTTAGCTCTTGGGTGTTTCCTCAGGGGGGCCCATTAGATGGGTCTCTCTCTCTCACTCACACACACACACACACACACACACACACACACACACACACACACACACACACACACACACACACACTCCCCATGGACCCAACTATGCCTCCAGTGGTGCCTTGTTAACATTGCCCCCAAAGTACAGATCTAAGAACAATTTACCCTCCCCAGCTTCTCCAACCTCCTAATTGTCTATAGATGGAAGGCATAACTGATCTAGGATCAGCTGCAGAACCCTCTAGGGACAACCTCCCTTTCTTACTCTTCTTACTCTTTTACTTTCTGCCTTTTGCCTTCTTCCTCTCTCCGAGGGGTAACTGTGGGGCACCCCAGGGAACAGCTTTGTCTTTCCTAATAGAATAACAAACTGAATTTACCCCATTTCAAAAGAAATTGTTCACTCGCTTCGAATCACACAGTCACTTGTTAAGCTCCTTCCGTGGTGCAAACTACAGATAAGTTCATATATTTTTTACTAGGTCAGTATACAAAAGAAATTAAAGATGAAAGGCGGCGGTTCCATTTATTTTCCCTGGTGACTGCGTTTGCAGAAGCTGTATACCTACAGACAGCGCAGGAATTCAACTTGAAATGAATATTAAGGCTTTGATAGTTTTGTGGAATTGCCCAAAAGCAACTTAAGCTAACTTTCGAAGCTTTTATCCTCAGTGAACTATTTTTTTTTCTTTTTTCCTCATTCATTATGGGTCCAAAATCAGAAAAGTCCACTTTTAGTGAAGCGTTAGGTTGCAGATTACAGTTGAATACACTGCTGGGGCAGTGTGCTGTTGATTCGAAAGGAATGAAGTACAAGACTGCATGAGTGTCACATTTGCCAAGTGATGAGCATGTTAGAAGTGTGAGGGTTTGGGCCGTAGCTGAAGCCCTGTCCCTCTAAAACAACAAGCCGCCCACCTACCCTGCCCGAGTGAGTGACAGGCCGTTAGGAGCTGTCTGATGCCCCCTCGTCACTGTGTGGCTGAGGGGGACAGGTTGAGGATACTACTGGCCGTCACACCAGCCACATCAGATGATCATTCTCATGGACACTCTGACACCTTCGACCCCCCCCCTTATCTCTTTTTTCTAAGGATCGCTGTGCCATAAAATCTGTATACTGATGCAACAATTCCAACTTGCAGATGGTTCCATATTTATTTATTATTTATACTTCGTGGACATGGTCCTACCTTTAAAACCATGTCATATGTGTATATTTCACAAATTGTTTACTACCAAAGCTAATGCCAGTATATAAAGGGAAATAACTTATATCTTTTGTGTGTGATGCCTTCAGATGTCTGCCACAATACAGCTGCCATCAGGGGATAACTACAACCTCAACCTCCACCTTCTACACCCTGTTGTCCCCCAACAGAGCAGCTTCAAGATCCTCACCACTAAGGTATCACTTAACTTTAGCTAGCGGAGTTAATGTGCTGTAAAAAAATCTTTAACTGTTTCCCCCTTGGACACCTACTTAGTTTGGAAAATACAAACAGATTTACCCCCTGAGTGGTTTGTGTCACATTTCAAGCCTGACTTCAGAACATACATTGATTGCGTGTGATCAGAATTTGGTGAGGGTGATCTCTAACTAGGGCTACCCTTGGGAAAACCCAATGGTCAACAAACCATGTCTTTGTTGAAATTTAATGAGGTGGCAAAACCCGTCATTAAGGGTTCGAGAACAGTCGTCAAGGGTCAAATATCATCTTTGTGGGGAAACACTTAAAATTCCCACCATTGTTTTTAACAGTAGCAGCTTGCATAGTTACATTGAGAATGATTTTAGTGTTTTGACAGGTTTAAAAGACTTTTTAAATTTCCTTTTTTTAATCAAGAACCGATTCATGAAGCAGAACCAGACCACACGTATCAGACCTGCAG